TCCCCCCACTCAGGTTCACCCATGGCTGTGTTGGCGCATGGCACACTTTAGAAAGATCTGCCTCCACGCTCTGAGGGTGGGTTCCTGCCTCAAACCCCACTCTTACAGGAATTAGCTTTGGGAAACAGCTTGGGGGAGGGCGCAGACATTGCCAAGAAAACCCCTGCAGGACTGACTTCCTTCTGCTTGGTCGCAGCGGATCTTCTGGACGTGATGAAAACCACCCATGGTTTTTATATAAGTAGATACAACAATTCTAACAATATCTGTTTGGGCATAAAGGAAGGCTTAAACATGAGAAAATTACTAATGAAGCCATAGGCAGATCAACACAGTAATGATATATTAGATGTAAACTGTAACTTATTGGGGTGACATTGGTTAATAAATTTATATAAGTTTCAAGTGTACAAATCTATGATACATTATCTGTATATTGCATTATATATTTTCTCCTAAAGAGAGTTGGTGATTAACGTTAAGCTCCATTTTTCATGAAAATTTTCAAAGACTTTTTAAAAATCTAACCAGGCCTCTGACAATTCCCTTGAATCTTTATTTTAGAAGTATAAGAGAACTTTATTTTATTCCCTAAGATACTGTATATCTATATTACAACAAATTTTTCTCTACAGGAAATAGAAGAATTTGTCCAGAGCTCGGGCAAAGACGGTATTGTGGTGTTTTCTCTGGGTTCAATCATCCAAAATCTCACAGAAGAAAAGGGCAATCTTATTGCCTCAGCCCTTGCCCAGATTCCACAGAAGGTTAGTACAACCTTTAATCCTGCTGGGCTGATGTCTTTCCCACTGAAAGTTGAATCTCATTTTACAGTTAACATATCAGGTACCAGTATTAAGTAAAAATTTGTAAAACATTACAATAGTGAGTGTAGGCATATTTGCACCTTGCTTACTGAGCTTTCTGTTACAATCATTGGTTTTCAATGAAATAGAGATGAAAATATTAAGCGCCATTTTTCATGAAATCTAAAGGCCTGCTCTAACAACTCCCAAATAGTTCTGAAGTACATTTACTCCAAGACCAGGAAAAAGGGAGAAAAGGAATGGCAAACATAGATATGAATGCTGCATAAGAATATCCTTCATGTCTTTGTTTGTATTAGGACTTGATTCATCATAGTTAAGCACAGAAGTAGAAGTCTAGATTCATTTAGCATTTTAATTAACATTTTCTAGAATTAAAAAGCCATAGAAATGTTAATATAGTCTAGCAATTTGCATGTCCTAATTTATGATATTCAGTTCATTTTAATGTTATCACCACCATCCTAGATTACTGCTCTTTTTATATTGCTATTTATAAAACATCCAACAGCTGTTTTTATTTACATATTTGGTTAAATTCCATAAAATTCTATAAAAATTATATATAAATGCAAATATGATAATTGAAGAAATGAAACCAAACAATATATTTCACCAAACTTTAGAATATAAGCAAAAGCACTACCATATTTTTACTTTATTTTTTTTGATTAATTAAATCTTTACTGTTCAGATTATTACAGTTGTTCCTCTTTTTTCCCTCCATAACTCCCCTCCACCCAGTTCCCACCCCACCCTCCACCCTCACTCCCCACCCACTGTCCTCATCCATAGGTGCACAATTTTTGTGCAGTCTCTTCCCGCATCTCCCAC